CTGGCTCGCGAGGCGGGGGCACCTCCTCCCCCACAGCCGCCAGCTCCTGTCAAAGCCAGAGGATATTATGACATGTTGAGTAACAAAAGCAGCAGGATTTCCCAGCTAATAGTTTACATTAAGGTCTCCTAAAGCATCCTGCTTTCCCAGCCCCTGTCCCAACATAGCCACAGAATAAGAATGTGCCACTTGGCCTGGGACGCTGAGGGGAAGTAGTTAAAGGTCATAGCATCTTCCTGTGATTTAATCTCATGGCAGGAGCGGTGCAGAAGGAAAGCCTTTTTTGCTTTTGCTCTCAGTCTGGCTACTGGAAGAGGTTGGTGAGCGGTTAGCCTGCAGTTACAGCTGTGAAAGCCAACGCGCTATGTTTCTCTGAAGCAGCCGCAGCCAGCAGAGCACAGCACCGACACGTTTCCAGAGTCTCGGTAGAGGCAGACCGATTCAGCTGGATGCGTGGTTCGCACAGATGTGTTCATCATCATCTCGTGTGCATGCTTCAGACCTCAGTATTAGCACTGCCGGGTTATGCATGCCCTGGGCTCCAACATGCTTAAGCCCAGTTTTTTGGGGTTTTTTTTCACTTAAAGTGCAGCAGAAACCTTAACCTCACCTGACCTCTGCTGAATGCTGTAAAGGCCAGAGCTGAGAGTTGGGAAAGGAGTTTGAATGCGAACTCTCATTTCCCTCTTCCTTCCCCTCCTCCTCCCACAGGTTACTCTCTTCTCTGCTCCTATGGAAAAATGTCATGGTGACCTTAAAGACTTAAAATAAGTTCCCAGAAGTTGCAGGCAGCAGTAGTCCAGCAGCTGTGGAACTACTCCTCTTCTCCCAGCTCTCTCCCCGTTCGGAAGCTGTTCTCTCCGCTTTGTCCTGTCCGGGGCAGTCGGGCTCACCCGGCCCCGCTCTCCTTGCCGCGCCAGGCGTGCGCGCGGAGCCGTGCCGCTTGCGCCGTAGCCCTGGGGAGGATCGCTCGGTGGAGCCCTGGTCTCCGCTCGATTCAAGCCGAGCTGGGGAAACAGATCAGCACCATTTCCTGGCTCCCTCCTGGAGCGAGGGAAGCGCGCTTGAGGCCCGCTGGAAGGTGAAAACGCAGCAGCCGGCCGTGGAGACGGCGGGCACAGAGCAGGGGAAAGCATAAGGTCCTCACTGTAATTTAATGCTTGGTCAGCTTGTTGGAAGAGACTACTGCCTGTATGCCCTAAGAATCTGTCCCCAGTGAATACGTGCATCTGTCAGGCTCTCAGACTCGCCCCGAGCCAGCTTCTTCCTCCTCCGATCCCTTTCTTCCTGCTGTGCGTGAAAGCGAAGGGCGGGAGGGAAGGGGATGCTGCCAGATCTCCTTGGAAGCATTGAGAAGTGCAGGGATCGTGGATTCCTTTGTAGGAGAGGTCGTGCCGGCTCAGACCGGTGGTCTGTTCAGGCTGTTATACTGTCTGACGAAGGGCAATGCCTGTCTGTCTTTGAAAAAGATGCAAGAAAACTCTTTTCTTCCTCCAGCTCTAGAAATTCTGCTCGTTTAGCTGAGAGTAAAACGCTCACTTAAGCCGGTTACTGCCTCAGCTTAGCTGCTCGCTGTTATCTGCTTCCTGCTCCATCAGTGTGACGTCGAAATAAGTCGTGTTCCTAGCCTTACCTTTTAGCGATAGGGCAGCTGCTCACTTAAGATGACTAAAGTGGAAGTTTGCCAGGTTATGTTGTTCCCTCACTATGTCACGAATTCATCGGGGCACAGCATCTCCAGGACGAAGGCATCTGTTTGGTACAATGAGAATACGTAAGTTGTGTTATGGTGACATCGATCTCAAACATCCCGAGAATAACTTCACAGTTCTGATTCTCTCAAGCTTGTCACGTACTGAGGAGGGTCTCCTGGCTGAGGGTCAGCTCTTCTGTTGTTTCTTTGGTCTTGCTGAAAGATGCATTGAATTAACAGCTGGTAACTCTTGCACAGGTATTACAACAAGCTGGTGAGAAGCTTATTGGAGTGTGATGAAGAGACTGTCAACACCATCAAGGACAGCTTGATGGAGAAGATTGGTCCCAACATGGCAAGCCTCTTCCACCTGCTGCAGACGGATCACTGCTCGCAAGCCCACCCGCGAGCAGACTTCGCCAGGAGACGTATCACTGAGCCTCAGAAGCTAAAACTCTACTTCAGGAACCTCCGAGGTGAGGGGTCCGTCCCAGCCCACGCCAAGCGCGCCTCTTCCGAAAGTGCGTAACCCCGCCGGGTCGCGCGAATGGGTGTGTAAGGGATGCTAAGCACTACCAAAGCTGACGTCTCTCTTCTAGAAGAGTAATGCACCCAAACCAAGTGTACTGTAGCTAGTTTTAATAACGACTAGGAACTGGTTTTAGATTTAGTCATTGATATTTTCTATTCCTCTTGAACAAACTTTTGCATGGATCTGTGTTCAGTGTCTCAGCTTTCCAGCCGTCAGAGTGTCTCCATCTCTTTTTCTTTTCCCCCAGGAAAAAATATCCAAAACGATCTTAGTCTTAAATATAACCATACAGTAGTCAGGCCTTCAGACAACAAACTCAAAATGTACTGTAGCGCTAGCACCATTGAAGTCTGAAGATTTGGCACCGCGGAGAATAGCTTATTCTCCCTCGTAGTAAGCTGGTAGGCGATGATAGATGCACTAACAACTATTGCACATCCTGAAGATGGCAATGGAATTCGTGTTATGAATCTGTGCTGGCCATGGACGAATATGAATGTCATATTCCAGGTCTCTTAGTGTCCTACAGTCCTAATCCTTCCACTGCAGCTCCTCTAGCTGGTTAATTTACCAAACTTGCTAGCTGTGGGTGGTTGTAGTTACCGTGATCTGGCACCACAGTGCAAAATGAGCTAAAGCCACCTCTCCCCCACCCGCCCCCCCCAAATCAGCAGAGGAGCATTTTGTACTGTGGAAATCAGTAAAGGAAGTGCCGGTCTATGGGTAAAGCTAGTCAGAAGGTTACATAATCTTGCATTGTATTTAAAAGCTAACATCTATGTACTGTATTTAATTGTCTAAAGCTTTAAAAGAAACCTAACACAAACAAACCCTTTCTTAAGACTAGAGTATTAAAGGTCTTGCTCTAACTGTGGTATAAATAGTTTTAAAATCTGTCATGTACTGTACATAAATTCCACAAGAGTCTGCTTAAAAGAAGCAGAATATAATAACTTTATTGCATAAACTTAGTTTTGTAAGTTAGCTATTTTTTTTTCCTGGAAACAGTATCTCTGTCATATTCAAAAGTTCGCATTCTACTTTGTGGCCTTTTTATAGTGGAAGAGAGAAGATGTTTAAGACAGAAACGATGAAGACAGGGCCAGAAACAAGCCTCTCTTTTCATAGGTAACGTGAGTTGAGACTGGCCAGTCCCGTCTCCGCAGAGCTGCCGTGAACCTTTAACCGTACCCAAGGCAGAGCCCTGCAGGAAAGCTGCTGGGGGCGTTATCAAAGGCGGACAGAACAACTGCTTTGGCATCTCATAGCTGCCACGGGGAGTAAAAATTTCCTTAAAAAGGCGATTTCTGGGGAAAGGCAGGTTTTTCCTGCAGCTCTCTTGAACTCTGAACGTGAAACAACGTGCCTGTCTTTAAAAGGACACACGCAGCACGGCTCTGGCATCTGCCTTTGCTCAGGCGCAGGCCTGCAGCGGCGGCAGCAGCCCCCTCCCCCTCTGCCCGCTAGCGTCCGTCTGCGGGGTGGGTGACTCTTGCTCAACTAGTTAGAGAGCTAATAAAGGAGGGGTCTATTTTCCTTTTCAAAATCTAAAGCAATATAACCTTTTTTTTTTTTTAACCACAAAGCCTTTAAACAATAACTTGCTGCTAATACATTGAAACCAGATGCAGTGGCAGCATTGCTAATATTGCTGTCTTCATTAAATGTAGCCCAAAAGTGCTGTCATAAAATTGCAAGCGGCAAAAAATGTTGCTGACGGTGGAGGTTTTTGGGGTTTTTTGTTTGTTTTACTTTGTTCGAATACTCTGAATCGCGCAGTCCGGAGCAAGCAAGGCGCGATACTGTAGCTTGTTCTGAAATCTCAGTCAGGTATATAGAGTGCAACCGAAGGAAGTTTTGCCAGGTGAAAACCAAAGGTGCTGCCCCGACAAGTTTGACGTCCGCTTGGGGAACGGATCGCAGTTGGTTTTGCCCGCCGCGCGGCACCCTGTCGGCCCGAGGGGTACTGCCAGGCCGGGAGAGCCGCTGGAGCGCGGATCGCTGTTTGGGGAA